GGTCCTTACTAGCCCTTGGTGGCTAGTGGGCTTATGCATCGGGCAGAGATGGGTTCAGTCCGGGCACTCTGCCTCCTGTACCTATCTCTTCGCGCGGATCTACGGGTTTGTCTACGAGGGATCTACGAGGGGCTTGTCCGGGGGCGTCCTTGCTAGCCTTTGTTGGAAAGCGGGTGTAGCCAGTCTGGCAGAGCTGGACTCAGTCCTGGGCAGTCTGCTCGCTGCACGGATCTGCCCGGGAGGCTCCAAGGCGGCTGGCAGGGCTGCCCGGGGGGGTCATTACTAGCCCTTGGTGGCAAGGGTAAAGCTGGGCTCAGTCCTGGGCGCTCTGCTCCCTGCACAGCTCTACCAGCGTGGCTCCACGGGTGGCTGAGAGGCGTGCCGGGGGCGGTCCTTACCTGCCCTTGTTCGCCAGTGTGTGTCGCCAGCCGGGCAGAGCTGGGCTCAGTCCTGAGCGCTCTGCCCTCTGCACGCCTCTACCCGCGCGGCTCCCCGGACAAGTGAGTGCATGCCCAGGCGGGTCCTTCCTTACCAACCCTTGTTCGCAAGTGGGCGTAGCCCGCCCGGGAGAGCTGGGCTCAGTGTTGGGCCCTCTGCTCCCTGCAGGGCTGAACCCGCGTGGCTCCATGGGCAACTAGGGGGAGTTCCCGGGGGGATCCTTAACAGCCCTTGGTCGCTCGTTTGCATAACCAGCCTGGCAGAGCTGGGCTCAGTCCTGGGCAGTCTGCTTGCTGCACCGATCTACCCGGGTGGCTACAAGGCGGCTGACAGGCATGCCCGGGGGCGGGGGTCATTACTAGCCCTTGGTGGCAAGTGGGCGTAGCCAGCCGGGCAAAGCTGGGCTCAGTCCTGGGCGCTGTGCTCCCTGCACAGCTCTACCTGTGCGGCTCCACGGGTGGCTGAGGGGCGCGCCAGGGGCGGTCCTTACCTGCCCTTGTTTTTCAGTGGGCGTCGGCAGCCGGGCAGAGCCGGGCACAGTCCTGGGCGCTCTGGCCCCTCCTGCCTCTACATCCTGGTTTCTATGGGCGACTGGGGGGCGTGCCTGGGGCGGTCCTTACCCGCCCTTTTTCTCCAGTGGGCGTAACCAGCCGGGCAGGACTGCGCTCAGTCCTGGGCTCTCCGCCCCCTGCGCAGCTCTTCCCTTGCGCCTCACGGTTGGCCGGGGGTCGTGTCCGGGAGTGTCCTTAACCGCCCTTGGTCGCCAGTGGACGTAGCCAGTCGGGGATAACTGGGCTCAGTCCTGGGCGCTCTGCTCACTGCGGGCTCTATGGATGCATCTCTAGGAGCAGCTGGGGAGCTTGCCCAGGGTGTCCTTACCTGCTATGGGTCGCAAGTGGGCATAGCCAGCAGGGCAGAGCTGGGCTCAGTCCTGGGCGCTCTGCCCCCTGCAGGGCTCTACCCGCGCGGCTCCACGGGCGACTGGGTGTGTGCCCGGTCCGGTCCGGTCCTTACCAGCCCTTGTTCGCCCGTGGGGGTAGCCACCCGGGCAGAGCTAGGCTCAGTCCTGAGCACTCTGCTTCCTGCATGGCTCTACCCGCCCGTCTCCAAGGGCGGCTCCTCTTTGGACTGTTCTTGTCCATGTACCTGGTCACAGTGCTTGGGAACCTGCTCATCATCTTCGCTGTCAGCTCTGACTCCCACCTCTGCACCCCTATGTGCTTCTTCCTCTCCAACCTGTCCTCAGCTGACATCTGTTTCATCTCCATCATGGTCCCAAAGATGATTGTGACATCTTAACTCACAGCAGGGCCATCTTCCATGCAGACTGCCTGACACAGATGTCCCTTTTTATCCTTTTCGGATCCATGAATGACATGCTTCCAACTGTGATGGCACATGACCGCTTTGTGGCCATCTGTCACACCCTGCATTATGCTGTCATTATGAACCCTCACCGCTGTATCTTAGTATTTTTGCTGTCAGTCTTTGTTAGCCTTTTGGATGCCCAGGTACACAATGTAATTGCCTTACAAGTGACCTGTTTCAAAGATGTGGAAATTGCTAGTTTCTTTCTGAGCCTTCTCAACTTCTTGACCTTTCATGTTCTGATACCTTAATCAAAAACATATGTGGTAGGTGTCCTATTTGGTTTTTTCCATGTCAGGGATCATTTTCTCCTACTATAAAATTGTTGCTGCCCTCCTGAAAATTCCACCACCTGAGTGGAGTTAAGTGAGGATAAGATAAGGATACAGATAAGTGAGGCATATAGAACTCCACCCAGCCATGATAAAAAAAAAAATCTACACCTAGACATATAATAGTCAAGATCCCAGAAACCCAAGAGAAGAACAAAATCCTACAGGCAGGTAGAGAAAAGAAACAAATCACCTACAAAGGAAAGCCCATCAGAATCACAGTAGACTTCTCAACACAAACCCTCAAGTCAAGGAGAGCCTGGAGTGAAGTATTTCAAGCCCTAAAAGAAAATAACTTCCAACCTAGACTGTTGTATCCTGCAAAATTATCTTTCAAAATCGATGGTGAAATTAGATACTTCCATGACAAAGAACACCTGAGAAATTTCATGAACACTAAACCAGCACTCCAAACAATTCTAAGCAATATCCTAGAAAAAGACAAGGAAGATCACAACTCCATGTGGCCCAAAAGAAGGAAGCCACCAGGCAAGGTAAGAAACTAAAGTGAAACGGAAAAAAAAACAAAACCAAGAAATGAAAGAGCCACCAATAGTAAAACATCATGACAAGGATGAGTCAATATCTATCAATTATAACTATCAATGTTAATGGTCTCAATTCACCAATCAAAAGAAATAGACTGGCAGAATGGATTAAGAACCAAAATCCAACAATATGCTGTATACAAGAAACACACCTAACTCAAAAAGAAATTCATAGGGCCAGAGATTTAGCTCAGTGATTCCGGCACCTGCCTTGCAAGCACAAGGTCCCAAGTTTGATCCCCAGTACCAAAAACAAGACAAAACAAAACAAAACACACATACAAAAAGAAATACATAGACTGAAAGTAAAAGGATGGAAAACAGTTCTCCAAGTGACAGAAACCCAGAAAGAAAGCAAGGGAAGCAATCTTATTTGCAGACAAAGTAGATTTCAAACCAAAACTAATTAAGAGAGACAAAGATGGTCACTACATCTTTGTGAAGGGAACAGTCCAAGAGGAAGAGATGACAATCACAAATACATAGGGCCGGGGATTTAGCTCAGTGGTTTTGCCACCTGTTGTGCAAGCACAAGGACCCAAGTTCTATCCCTGGTACCAAAAAATAAAATAAAATAAAATAAATAAATATATATGCATCAAATACAAATGCCCCCAACTATACAAAATAAATATTAATGGACATGAAAAACCAAATAAGCTCTAATACAGTTGTAGTGGAGGATCTCAATACTCCATTATCACAATTAGACAGATCATCTAGACAAAAAATTAACAACAAAATTTTAGAGCTGGACCAAGCTATTGAACAAATGGACTTAATAGATGTTTACAGAGTGTTCCACCCCACAAAATCAGAATACACATTCTTTTTGGCTGCACATGGGTCATTCTCCAAAATAGACCACATACTAGCTCATAGGACATGTCTAAGTAAATGGAAAAGAATTGAAGTTACCCCCTGTATATTATCAGATCATAGTGCAGTAAAGTTGGAGATCAATGATATAAGAAACTGCAAAATTCCTACAAACACATGGAAATTAAATAACACCCTCTTGAACAACTAATGGGTCACAGAGGAAATTAAAGAAGAAATTAGACAGTTTCTACAAGTAAATGATAATGCCAGTACAACATACAGGAATCTATGG